AAGTCCTTGGTTTGAGGATTTGATGATTAAGAGACTGTACACATTAATGTTTCTTGTAACAGGGAGGAATTTTGCTTTATTAAGGGTGTAAATAAATTTGCAAGGTGTGTTGTTCCAATCTGTCTTCAGGAGTACAGTTTTTAAGGTCAGAAAAGTTACAAAGAACAGCATCTGGCATTAGCAAGAAATGTGTTTGTATGTTTGTTTCTAAATTAAGAATATTTATTTGATGATGTATCTCTGTAAAAATTGGGAAAGCACCTCTGCTATGTCTTTATTTTGTTATTTCTCACAATTACATATTCATTTACCATGACTCTTATGCCAGTTTAGTTGGATTGTGACACAGTAACACAGGTTTTTACTGTATTCAAGACTGAGGCATTTTCTCCGGAGGAGCAACAATGAAGTTAATGAAGTCTTTCAAATCTGGGAACCAGAAACTGGTTCCTGTAGTCGGAGAATAGTCGGAGAATGTAGGAAAAAGCTTTGGTTCATGGTAGAAACCAACCAGAGGCTGTGAATCTGATTTGAACTGTGATGATAACTGGCAAGGAGCTGGCAGATATTGATAGCATGTAGTCATTTCTTCATGCTCTGGAATAACTGAGCAATGGGAACTTCATTGTTGGGGTTGTTGTTATGTGCCCCCCAGTACATAAGGCATCCATTGCCTCACTGTCTCATTTTGAGTGACTGGTGGATCTGCTTTTTGGTACTCAGGTTCAGAACTCGTAAATCTGATTTTCTTATCGAATGTTAGAAGTCGGGGAAGTCCTTTGATAGGGGGGAATATTACTGGTAGTTGTATCCTCCGATAACTGGTAGGGAGTTCTTGCAAGAAGTTGTGCGGACCACTGCTGTGGTTAGCTGGGCTCCGAGTTGGTACCTGCTCTTCACACCACTGCTTTGCTCTGTTACAGTCTATGGGGGCAGGTTGGTGCCCAAAAGGATTTGCTGTCATGGATGAATAATGACACGTTGGTGACTTTCTTCAAAGGGCGACCTCTCATTCAAATATGGTGAGCGGTTGTCTTTGTCATCCTTCTCAGACATGGTGTTTTGCTTTAGTTTCAGGAATCCAGACAGAGCCTGCTTCATAGGGCAGGCTGGAAGTATCCCAGCCCTTGCTGGCTGTCTTCTACAAGTCAGGAAGAAAGCCTGTTGAATATTTTGAAATATTTTCAACAGCAGTACTCACTTCTTACTTGAACACTCGATATGCACATCATGTGTCACATGCTGATTCATGTGATTTGTGGCAGAAATAAATACGTTTGCATTTTAAAGAGTTTTTTCTTTTTTTTTTCCCATGCCATGAAGATGTAAAAATATAAACTTTTTCTTTCTTTTCTACCTGCCTGCTCCTGGCACTGATTCTCCTTATCCTTTTCAGAAATGCGAGGAAAGCCAAATCAGGCTCTGTTTAAAGTCTCTAATGAGTTTTACAGCAGTCTGAAATGACATTCTCTTTTTGCATGAGTACTGTGATGCTACTGAGGTTTCTGTAAGGTTTCCGTGCATTTTTCCAAGATGAACGAGATCTGATCTTGTACCATAAGAAGGTACAAAGGAAGAATTCTTTGATTAGCGCAGTAAATCAGCAGAAGACTTCAGGCTTCTTTTAACAAGTCACTTCATGTGAAGAAGAAAATGAAAACTTTTTTTGCTGCTTGCTCCAAGAATAAGGAGCCAGAGGAAGTTGATGCACAACCTGGTGAAGCAGAGTCCAAGCTACATGCTTTTTAGTAATGTCTGAAAGGCAGATTGTCACCCAGTGTGATTGTCAGTATTGTGCATTGTCAGTAATTGTGTATTCAGGGAGGCACTGCTTATTTATTTCAGGTTTGTATGAGCCTGGGTGCTCAGTGGTTTCCCACATATCAAACACACCAAACGGAATAATCCATGCTATCCTCAGAAGTTAAAATTAGTAATTTTTTCAGTCCTCCTCACGATGATTAGTTCGTATTTTACATATAATAGTGCTGACTCTATACTTCCACTGCTACGCCTGCTCAGGGGAGGGATCTTCATGAGGGTAGGGGTCGTCTTGACCTGTGAGTGTGAACTGTGAACTTTAACATTACAATGAAGGCAGTTCAGCAGGGACCTTGAGTTATATTGCCAAGTTGGCAACATTCTCAAAGCATCCTGATTAAGGTCCTTCTCAAGGCCTGCTGGCTCTGGTTAAAGGATACTAAGTGTTTATTCTGCTGATACCTAACGCAGTGTTTGCTCAGTGTTTATTCTGATACCTAACGCAGTGTTAGCTTAGTCTTTGGAGTTGGTCTTAAACAGTAATACATGGACACAGCTCTTGCAGAGGGGAAAGTGACAGCTCTCTGGCTTCTGTGCCAAAATCTGATCTTTTTGCTTTTAAACTTTTTAAAAATAAATGTCATACTCAGAGAGGAAGCGAGCACTGCTGAAAAGTTGTCTTTTGGGGAAGGTAAATGTTTGAATAATTTAAAGAAGCAAATTAAAATCTCTCTTCTTGTTATTTGTTTACCTTGTCAATAATTAATGGACGCTGGGAGAAGGCACATTGAATAACGTTGGATTTTGAAAGTTTAGTAAGAAAACTAGACAGCTTTCTTCATTAACAATTATGTAGATTCTATTTGCTGTGGTTCTTGCCTCTTCTTATGTCTAACTGTGGTGAGCACTTACGAAAAATACTTAATGGGATCATTTCTGCCTGCATCCCTGAGCTGTGATACAAATAAGGAAGTTAGGGGAGTTAGAGCCGCTTGTGTGCCTGAAACAAAATTTGGAGTTGTTTCACCTGCACAGCAGAGGATCACCTAATTGTCCCAGCCTTCTCCACCCACCAAAAACAATCACTTATGCAAAGCTGGGCAGTTTCCTATGGGATCTCCTGTGAGAATTTGAGAACAGTCTGGCAGAGTATTTTACTGTCTGCTTTGTGTTGCTGGTAGGGTAATTGTAAGCATAGGAAAGCAGAGCTTTGCTTTCAGACGTTTTGCCCAAGTATGGCAGTTTTAAACCCAAGGCTGGCTGAACAGCTCTGTGTATAACGCTCATTTTTGTCCCAGCCCCTTCACAAGCTGCACGTGGGTCTGTCTGTATGGCAATCCAAAGATCACACAAAAGATAACGGCAGTGGAGGAAGGGGAATAAAGCAATGCTGATATTAAGAGTTTGTTGATGCCAGCTCATCCATCAGCAGACAGAACATGCAATAAAAAGCGCATAGTTTTTGATGTGTAAAGAGTGGCTGATAAGTGGGTAACAACTTGATTTCCTTTCAACTGATTCCAGACTGCCTTTTGGAGAGTGTCCTGTTGTTTGGCTTAGCCTGTTGCACTGGTACCTTGTGGGTAAACATAACCTTCAAGGACTGGTGGTTGCTCAGCCATTGGAGTAGCAGCTCCTATTTTCCCAGAAAGACATGTGTATTTGGGAAGGCAGATGCAGACTGTCATCTGTTGACTTGCGGTTTAATCTTTATTTTGCACTTCCAGCTGATAAGACCACTTTGTGCAGAAGTAATACAGGAAATGATGCATTGCGAAAACCAAAAGTGGCAGAAAGGGAAACAGAATGTACTGGCAAAAGCTCAGTGCTACAGACATGCTTCTGGCTTCTTGGAAATGAAAATCTCCACCTACACGACCTTTTTTTAGTTTGACACCACTATTGGAATTCAGCATTCGAGTGGTATACAGCAGCCTGGGGTTTTTTGTTTGTTCATTTTCCCTTGCTTTTCTTTCTGGCTAATTCAGGACCTGGATCTTCTCTGGGCAGGCTGAGCTTCAGCAGCAGTCCTGGGGCTGGAGGTTAGCAGCAGGTTGTAGATGGAGCTCGCAGCTACTAAGCTGCCTTGCTTTCAACTGTATTTTCAAGTACTGTGCCTAATGGGGCTCCCTGTGCTACCAGTGCTGCTGGTTGCTGCTCCAGAGGTGCCAGCTGTTAAGATAACACTTTTGGTTGAGATGTTGAAATGTATTTTGGAATATGTGCTTACGGGAAAGGGACACATGCATGTTACAGGATGTGATCCAAGGATGTCAGAAAATCCTATGGCGTGGCTGCTTGGGGTTACATCTGAATGTCTTTCTGGTCTGAGCAGACCTTATGTGCAAGCAGACGTTAAGGCTGTATTTTGAGATAGTAGTGAGAACATACTGCTTTAATAGGCAGAAAACTTTTTTCCTACATAACAAGTAGTTTGCCCATCTCTTTTTGAAGAAGCCTGATAGAAGTGGGTCATGCCATGGTAATCAATGCAGGCACAGCTCTACATATGTAGACTCAAGCTTGGGTTGAGATTTAGACTTTTAGACTTTTTCACTGAGAACTTCAGTGCAAGTATTCTAATTATTTTTTTGTTGTTTTAAATCTAATAGGTGTGAAGTAAAAAGCTTGACTTGATTACTTGATAACAGTGGTGTACATTTTGTGTGTGGAACCTATGTTTTTTGTTTTCAAAAAGTAAAAAAAAAAAAAAGTCAGAATATTGAATGAGATACAAGCTATGTATGAGTTGAGAATAACTCCAAAACTTGCCTGCATATCTGAAGCAAATGTACTGGGTCTCTGATAATAAAATGCTTGAACTAAAACAGCATTTTAGTAGAGCACTTTTGAATGTATATAAGGATAAAATATATGTGGAGTGCAGTCAGTGGCAGTAATGGAGTTTTAGTTCAGTTAACAGCATAGCTCATGCTCAGGTAACAAAATATATTGTTAAATTTTCCCCAGGCTTATGCATGTCTTCCACTGCACTGACATTTGAAGTGGAAGTCTCAGCATAAAAGAAGTGGGAAGTACTGGTATGAAGTGCAGGTAGACGTGGTCTTTATCTTAGTTCAAGATCATTATTGACATAAATGTAGTTTATGCATTTGACCTAATAAAATGGAACCTTTGCAATTAATTATTTTAGTGACAACTTATTTGAATCAAGTGGATGGTTTCAGCTTAAAGTACTCTAAGTGCAGAGGTACGCAATGAAATTACAGTTATGACAGTTAGGAGCGTAAGTGTGGCTTAGCACTTAGAATTTCAATTGTAATTATTTTTCATTATAAACTTGCAATTCAGGCTCATGGTTGCTCTGATACCTTCTAACCTGTCTGTGTATGGGTAGTTGTATGGATTTCTTTTTTGTCTTTCTGATGGTAACAAAAATATTTATATCCTTTTCCTCTTCCCTCTTCCTCTGCAACCTGTTGGTATCTGCTCTGGGATACATTTCCTGTCTATGTTCATGCTTCACTTGAATGTTACTGTTTTAGTACTCCTTATCTCCTTGTCCCCCTGTTCCCCATGACAGAGGTGAGTCTCTTACTTGCTCCTAACCGGGGTAAATGTGAAGCCTGCTGCTCACAGAAGACCCTGTAATGGGGACTTTTCAGCATGCAGAGTTCTCCCACCTTCACCCCTCACTTCGTTGCTGTTTCATGCCTCCCAACTTGAAGATCACTATACCACCTGACACCCTTTTATCAGTTTTTCCTGCTTCCCACTCCTTTGTGTGTCTTTGAGCACATCAGGATGGCATTGTGAAGGGAGGGGTTAGGATGTAGTCAGTGAAGTAAGTTGATGATGTCTTTCCCTTTCATTCTGTTTATGCAGGGGCTGTTTGATGGGTTAGGAAGACAGAGCTTTGCTTTCTTACGGGGAGATGAATGAGGGCACGGATCTTTCTGGTTTCCTTTTCTGTTTTTGGTTTGCCAATCAAAGTAACTCAGGTGAAGTTGAACAGTTTGTCCAGATCGTGATACACACAGGTCCTATGCAGTAATTTTCAATTCGTATTGTTTGCAAGAGAGCTGGGTAGTGCAGTGCTGTTGAGGTATTTTGCTTCCATCTTCACTTGGAAATCAAAACCAAAAGCACTGCTCATTCTGTATGACTTTATTGGGATGTTTTGCTCTGTGAAGTTGCCAAGTTGATAGGCTGTGGGGAGTGTACTTCTCACTTAGCAGTGGAAGATGAAATACAGGGGACTGTTTTAAGCTGAATTCGATGGAACTGTTCCTAAAATTGAACTTCTGCCCTTTTGGCAAATATGAGAAGGACTACAATTGTGTCTTTTTTCTTTTTTTTTCTGTCCACCTTCTCACAACCCTAAGCAAGAGCTACACTTGGGCAGTGAGTAGAAGCATTATTTGAAGCTGGCGAATGCAATTGTCCTTGCTGCATGGCACAAAAATTGCTGAGACTACGTTGAAAGTTGGATGAGGGAGGTGAGCAGAGGGGCAGTTGTCCTTCTACCTTGTAAATTTCCCCACCTTTGCACTTCATTCCTACTTTTCCCTAACTTCCTCCAACTTTTTTTTCTTTTGTTTTGTTTATGCAGTGTCACTGTTTTTCAGGGCAATCCCCTCATTTATTCAGGACTGTTTTGGTAGCAAGTGTATAAAGGCTTCACCAGCAAGCTCTGCTATTTAAAAGTCCTTGTCAGGCTGTTCCTTTGGTCTGATGCTTGAGACCAAGTGTTTTTGTTTTTTTGTTGTTGTTGTTCGGTTGGTCTCTGGTTATGCTCCTCTTGTGGGGTAGAACTTTTGGTGATTAACTGAAAAAGTAAAATCTGTTTTCCTTTTTCTCTCTTCTCTTGCAGGTTCTCAGCTGGAAGGCTTTAGTACAATGAGAAGGCTGCATCTGTCAAGGGGGAATGTCAGCATGGCTGTCCTGGGACAGGAGGACTGAAACAGCAGAAGCACCACAATTATTTGGGGAGGCTGCTTTTGACTACTGATTAAAATCTGCTGTGCAGCTGCGGTGGAAGAACAGGACAGTCTCCCTTGCTTGGTCTGTGGTATCCAGTGTGACCAAGTGGGGTCACCATGAACGTGACAAGTTTATTTTCCTTCACCAGCCCAGCGGTGAAGAGGCTGTTGGGGTGGAAGCAGGGAGATGAAGAAGAAAAATGGGCAGAGAAGGCTGTTGATGCACTAGTGAAAAAACTGAAGAAGAAAAAAGGTGCTATGGAGGAGCTGGAGAAAGCGTTAAGCTGTCCTGGTCAGCCCAGCAACTGTGTCACAATTCCTCGGTCCTTGGATGGCCGGCTTCAGGTTTCACACCGGAAAGGGCTGCCACATGTAATTTACTGCAGAGTGTGGCGCTGGCCAGACCTGCAAAGCCATCATGAACTGAAACCACTGGAATGCTGCGAGTTTCCTTTTGGTTCAAAACAGAAGGAGGTTTGCATCAATCCTTACCACTACAAGCGGGTAGAAAGTCCTGGTAGGTTCTTCCTTGTTTGTACCTTTGCACCTTATCTAAACAATGCAAAGTATGGCAGTTAATCATGTGACTCATCAGCTTAAGTAAGCAGAAGTAGCTGTTTGCACACGTCAGATTTGTACTCTGCAGTCTATCTGGCTATAAGCACTGATTTGCAGTTTTCTCTTTCACAGGGTGAATACTTACCATAAATGCATTTTATCACTGTGCAACAGCGTTCTCTCTGTATGTGCCTTAAGTTGCTGGATCTATTGCTTCCTGGCTTTGTTGGTGACCACTATCCCTCAATTCATTTTTTTTTCAATTTTTACTGAACTGTGCAGATTGAGTGTGTGAAATGTTGCAGGAAGGATAACTGGAACTGGGTGAAAAACTTGCTGATATGGCCTTACTGTTATTATTTCAGTTATATCTCTTCAGCTCCTTCACCCTCCAGAAGATACTACTGTCTTTAAGACCTCCTACAACTTTGGCCTTTTGAAGTCTGTGACTTTTTTTTTAGACTACAGAATATACCCTCTCAACCTGGAGCTTTGATAGTGGCTTTTTTTGTACATGAAGTTTTACCACTAGTTGTTCTGAAAGTGGAGTCTGTTTACCCATTACCCACTTCCACGCTTTAACAAGTGCAGCCTGTTCTCTGTCTCCTCTTCAAGGGCCAAACTCCTTTATAGTAAATCTGTGTTTTGCTTATATGAGTTTGTTTTCAGAATATTTCCAGGGACTAAGATGAAATGTGCTTAAACATGTCTCCACTAGTTTCCAGTTACTTGTGAGGTTGTACAGGGACATCTGCAGAAATGCACTGCAGGTGCGATTGGGCTTTTCTGGTTTAAATTTAGGAAATCTGTCTGTGTTAGGCACTTTGTAAACTGTGAAGCTGTTTCTGCAGAGTGGCATGGATTGCTTAAGAACTGCAGTGGAAATGACGTTACCAGATTATTTTCCTGTTAATGGAAATTGCATTTATCTTGGATTTGCAACACACAGCGCGTATCTAGATGGCAAATATTTCCCCTTGGGGTGTTAGTATTGGTTTGGAAATCATTTGTGTGATACCCATTAAGTATGTCTTCTATGCAGCAGATGCTTTAACAAAGGAGCCCTCTGCACTGGAGGAAAAAAAAACAGGAGTTTAAAAAAATTTTAGGGGTTGCATGTTAAGCAGAAGTGGGACAATAAAATAAATAGTTCATACTACTTGTTTTCTGCATGTGTCTGCACCAGGTGCATATGTTCAGTGTTCCAAAGTACTGAAAACTAAGATTCCCAAAACACGTCTAGTTCAGTCAGAGTGAGCAGCGGTTAGGATCTTGCTGTCATGGTAACACCAAGTGATGTGCTACAATTCATTTCCCTTCTATCTTGGAAGCAGTTACTGAGTTCGAGAACGTTCTAGTTCTCATCATTTATACTGTATTTAAGAATGTATTTGTATCCTGCCACTTCATTGAGATATACACGGTAAAAATAGAATAGAATTTTCAAAAGATGTCTAACTAAAATGTGTTGAGTACTGCTAGGTAGCTTAAGTTGTTGGAAAGTTGTTTTGGGTCCCGTGTCATCCTATAAATTTTGTAATTGGGAACAAGCAAAGTGTTATTAACCGTAAGCTTGAATTTGGGATTCATGTTAAGTTGTTTTGGGGTAAGATACAAATTTCTGGAGTTTGTGTAGTTAGAGAATTTTCACTGGGGAAAAAACAAAGAGTGACTTAATCAGTTTGGAGATGGTAGCGATGAATTATTTCCCTTCTGCCCAGCCAGTGCCCTTCAGGAAAAACTAGGGACTTCTGGTCATCTCCCTAGTAGACAACTGGGCAGCTTTCTTGTTTAGATCAGGGCTGGAATCAGCTTGTCAGAGCTGATGAAAGTATTTTGTCCTTCAAAAGATCACTGTGCTGCTTTGACCAGCTGAAATTTTCTGGAGGGGAGTGCTGAACAGGAGCTACCTTCTGCCTAATGAGTATAGGTATAGATATAGGCTGCAGGTATAAAAGTATGTGGCAATCGCATATTAAGAACTTTAAGTGGATTCCAAAATGCAAGAGTGGGGTCAAAGCCTGAAGTTTTCACTGAGGTCTCTGGCTGGGTTTGTGAAGGAGGTTTTTCCACTTAATTAACACTACAGGTCAATCATTGTATTGAGGGATATTGCCTGGATAAATTTGGAATATGTGGCTTTTGGGAGCAGGTGCTAACTGAGCTGCCATTTGGCCTAGAGATATGCACTTCATAAGTTACAACATGTCTTCCTTTCCTTTCCCTGTTCTTTGTCCCCAGAGTGTCAGTCTTAGCTTCAGTTCCTGACAGTCACTCTCAAATTTGGCTAACCATTTTTCCCCATTTTTGCCTGGACATTAAAACACCATTATTGCTTTGTAAGTGCTTACGCTTTGAGATTAATGGATAGGGGGAATTCACGCATGAGTCACTGTTTCCAAGAGCCTATGTACCCAAGCAGATATCAAGACTCGTGTTTCCAAGGTTATCACAGCTGGGAAGATGGAATTGTACTTGACTAAACGAAGCTAGAAGCTCAAGAGAGTGTATGATGGGCACTCTGTGCAGGCTGTACAAGTACATTGTGAAATCCTGGCTCTGCCTGCCAGCTTGGTCAGCGCTTAACTGCCTCAAACAGACCCAGCTCCTCAGGAGCTGCTCTGTAGGGTGCTGCCTGGGATGGGATCAGTGTGCTCTGTTCACTTTCCTGTTACTTGTCACGTGGTTGGTGTTTGTGTAAGTTCTGAAGAGTGGATTAACGGTAAATCCTCAAATAGATAAAATCGTGTAGTGCTTTCAGTTGGGAAATTAGTCTCATGGATGCGTTTATGTTTTCACAGTGCCAGAGGGATGCCTCCTTGCTATTCAGCTTAAAAATATGAGCTTGGAAATCATTGCAGTTGGCATGCTGTAGTCTGTCTGTGAACCACAATCTTACATCTGAATTTAAGCGAGATTTTTCTCCATTAGCCAGGTTGGATACAAACTCGATGCAGGGAGTTTTGGGGAGGCTGAGGAGAGAACTGCTTGGAGCTTCAGAGCCTCCCAGGTGTCCCTAGCTGCTAGTATCCAGCAAGAGACCTGGGTGTGATTTGGTGATACCTGGTGCAGAGGCTCTGTGCAGGCACTGGCAGCCATATGGTCAAAAAAATTAACCAGACAGAAAACTGCTGTTTGGAGATGCCATCCACGAGCAGCTCCCACATTGGGCTGTGCCAACACAGCTGTCTCCGTGGCCTTGTTTGGCCTGGGAGTGTTTTGTTCCCATCCCACTGCTGCCTTATCTCATGGGCTGATCGGGGTCACCCAGGGGATACAGGAACACCCATGTACCTACAGGGCCTCACATCTGGCCTGTGGGTGGGAGCAGAGGTGGTGTGAAGCACACAGGCCAAATGGAGGCTGTTTTGTTGCTGAGTACAGGAACACAATCTCATCCTCTACTGCCAAGATGAAATATCATCTGGAGATATGTTACTGTAGCTTGCTGATGCTGTTTCATAGGTCTGTTGGGTGAAGAATTATTTTTGGTGCAGAAATGGTTGTAGTTAGTAGGTGTGAAATTTTTTCCCTTGGCAAGGCGAAGCGAAGCTATTAATTAAGGAGGGTAGGGTCTCGATATGATGCCTTTTAAAAACTGGTACAGTCAGCTGAACTGGTGTGCTTGTGTGGCTGAATCTGCTTTTTCTCCTCAGTTTTAGTTTTTGGCTTAGAGATACCTGGAGATCAGGCTTCTGTGTGCTCTGGGACTCTTTAAGTATGACTGAGACCCGAGACTGGGTATAGATGCTTGGAGAGGAAAAAGCAATGCGTTGTTCCTCAACTGCATTTGAAAATGCCACAGATCTTAGAAAGCTTAAGCCTGGCTTGGGAAATGTAGTTGGTTATGTTTTGGTATTCAGTTCTGGAGATGATGACTAGTGCTGCACTATTCTTGAACCATACAGTCCAGAGGAGCACTAAAACTGCTCTGTCAGAACCAGCTGATCTGCCTTCAGAAATTCTGGTTGCATTCATCAACCGATGAACTTTTCTGCTTGGATGCTTGTATTCTGCCTAAATTGCAGAACAAGCAGTGGATGCTTATTTGTGACATGGATGAACACGTTGTCAGAATGGCTGAATTTTTAATTTTGTCTTAAGTATCATGTTCCTTTCCAGTATAACCATGAATTTAAAGTGGATGTCTGCCTCGGTAAGCTTGTCTTCAGTGGCAAGAAATGTTTAACTTAAGTGTAGAGGTGCTTTATTCCACAAGAGCAGACCAGGTCTGTCCCTGGGCTCTGTGAAGAGCAGTAGCTGTGTTGTGCTGTTTGTGCTTCCAGCCTGTGACTTTAACCTGATTGCTTTCATGTTTATCTTTGGTCTTCTCTGCTCTTTGCTCTGAATGTGTCTGTCAGGCTGCACACCTGATTGCATGCACCAGAAGTGCAGAAGGAAACTCAAAATGGTGGAAACCCTGGCTAAGGTAGGTTGAGATTTGTGCAGCCCTGGAATTGGATGCTCCACTGACCAGAGTTGCTGATCTGATACTCAGCAGAAGAAAAAGCATGTTTAAAGGAGCTTTCTAATGCTGTGTGAAATCATACAGATGTTTGGTTGTGTATAGTTGTGTGATTGTGTGCGCTTGTGCTAGCTTATGTTTGCTCATGTGCGCTCTTTCTCCATATAGGTACTGTACCAAAAAATGAAGAGGGCCCATTAGTCAAACCCAGTCTCGTTCCTGGTACCTCTCCATGCTAGGATCACTGTGTATGAAGCTACCATACCCAAGCTGGTACCTGTTACATCACCACAAAGAGTGCTTAGGCTTCAGATAAGAGTTCAAATATAGTGTGTTGCTTGTGGCTCTGGCTGCTTCCGCAGGCATCATCAAATGGGCAGAGGCTGTAATTCCTCCAGGGTCAAACAGGGAAGCAGGATGGAAAATGGGGTGTGAGCAGCAGTTCCCTATGGGACTGCCAGCTTGCCTGGGCTTCCAGGGTTCCCAGGGCCTGC